TCGTACCAAATTTTCTAATATTTTCTTTCGAATAATATCAATTTGACGCTTCGTCTCTAAGAAAAATTATTCCAAGTTTGTACGGCTGCTTTTTGATATTTTGGAATCAAAAATTAACCATAAATGCTTAATTGGATTTATACTTAGTGACTGAGCTGGCCAAGCCACTTTTTCTTTAAGCCTTCTTCAAAAAAGCAAGTGGTCAGGCGAGATGTGCGTTGGCGGTCGTTATCTTATTGGAAAATAAACGACCCCAAGTTCACTCTTTACACATTTATTTTCAAATATTCGCTAAGAATGTCAACATATGAAGTAACCGTCATTCATCCATCGATTTTAAATACACTACCTACAGCAAATYTTGAGAACCAGCCCCAAACCATGAGAGAACATCCTCCATGCTTCACTGATGATTGTATGCACTGTGCTTTTAAGCGATCCGAAGGTCTACACCACACTCCCTAACGTGTTTTTTAACTCCTTAGCTCGAATTTGAATTTATCGGACCAAATAACTTTAGCTCAAAATGAGGTTGGTAAGTTTGGATTTTTTTTGCAAACTCTAGTCCTTTTTTCGTAATCGAAATGGAAAACATAGGTCATATTTTTGCGACATAGTTTTTAAAACCAGATGTTTGTATTTTTATTTTCATTGTATTAATTTAAACATCCAAACCAAAACTTTCAATCAAATCCTGCGATAAAATTTTAAGGTTTTCAGGAGCTTTTCTTCGTACAAGTCGCTCAGCGTGTAAAGAAACTTTGGACCATGGACTCCCTCCCTACTGAATCTTGCATCTATTCCTCCTCGACAGAAATGGAATATCTTTATATTTTTTGATACTTTTCACCCCTAATCCCATCTTCTACAATTAAGATTCGATTCTCTTCAGTTTTTTAATGTTTTTACTTAGAAACAGAACAAAAACATTTTCACCATAACAGAAATTCCCTTAATAAATGCAAATTTATTAAATCTTTTTGCGTACAAATAATAAGTGCAAATATTATATTCCTCCAACTGTTTATTTACGTAAGGGTGCATCTACATGAAAAGTTTTATGGATTTATTCTTAAGCGAAAATGTAGGAAGTAAATGAGTGATCTGAGGTTACCAGTATATATTACATTTATACTTTCATTTGATGCCTAGTGTATGTATATATATTTATTGAAATTATATTGTCATATGTGCGTGCTGCTGTTTCAATATTAAAATATGGAAGACTTTTCAATATCTATATATTTGCACATATGTATATACGTTGATAAGCACGTATGGGTATTTGTAATATAATATGTAAATAAAAACAATATTTACAGTTTGAATCGTTGACGTGGCCTAATTGCTCCATAATATGCATAAATACATATATGTTTGTATATCTAGCTAAAAAGCTTTACATATAGTTTTTCACAGTTAGCTATATATGTACATATATGCAATTATAATGGAAATTGTTGAAATATACCAAACTATATACATACATTTGAAGGGTCAGTTTATCTAAATAAAGGTAAAGCACAACTGATTCCAAATTTTTTCGAAAGAGCGCGTAGAGTTAACATCTGTGTAATAATATACGGGATGTCATGAAACGTATTATCAGTGGCGATAGGTCTTGGATCTATGCCTACGACCCGGAAACAGACGATCAATCAAATGAATATCGTGACAAAGATGAGTTGAAGCCGCAAAATCTCGCGAAAAACGGTCAAACCTCAAGGTTATGTCGTTTACCGAAGTGTGGTGCACCTCGAATTTCTTCCGACTGGCAATAAGGAATACTATTTGAGTGTTATGCGTCGTTTCTGTGAAGCTGCTCATAAAAAGAGACTGGATTTATGCGTCGACAAATATTGATTTTTGCACCACAATACACCGTCGCATACTGCATTGATTCTTCCACCGTATTCGCTGGACTTAGCTCTAGGTGACTTCTGGCTCTTCAGCAAACTCAAACGATCGTTCCGGGGAAATCGTTTAGAGCCAATTGAAGACATCAAACTTGAATTACTACGCGAAATGAAGGCTATTCTGGAAATTAACTTTAACAACTGTTTTGAGGATTGGAAAAAACGTTAGCACAAGTGCCATGGTGCCAATGGAAATACTTTGGAGGAGACGACATACATTTTGAAGAATAAATTAAGCCAATGAAAATTATGAGCAAAGTTTTACTATTTAAAGTAAATCACTATAGGTTTTTATAAATATTTTAGTCACTGAATTTCCATTATTCTGAAGACCTCCAATCAAATTGCTTTACCAATGAAACTACAAGCTTCAGAACCGCTGTCTAACCTTTCCCGTTTCCCACAGGGGACTACAGTACTATTCATGTATGTTTGCAGAAAAATAGATCTATGTATTTGTAAATACATACATACATACACACATATATGCAGACGATGCAAACGCCGAGTGTTTTCGTCACTGCAAGAAAAGAGCTTACAACTGCAATCGATCACTGCAATTTAGCAAGCCGTACGCGAACAATGTCTAACGCAATTGTAATATTTTCAACAATTATTTTAAATATATGTGAACCTCAAATTTGCTTTGAGACACAGAAGTACTCCTACCTGAGCAACGGCTTCAACGAGGTAGGTTTAGAAAAGTATTTGGAGTAAGAGCATTGATGTATATGTACATATATATGCATAAAACAAAGTGCAAACATTTATTGACGAATTCACATTTTTTATAACAGATAATACTAGACAGCTGCGAAGCAAATGTGGACCAGGACAGATTTAAAACCAATAGATATTTCTATGAGGTATCATCTTCACCAGATGAGTGTGAACCATCTCAGGAATCCGTCTGCAATATGAACAGTGTCGAGGAAACATACAATGAAAGTGAAAGCGAGGAAAAAACTGACGAGAAAAAGAAAGGAGATGATACCGGTTTTATTCTGACTGTGATATTAATTTTAGTTTTTATCTGTGCTGCCGATAATGGCGGACGTCGCAATTATAGATAAGGTTATTAGAGAACTACTTATGTCAGTGTACAATAAATAAATGTAGGTTTATTATATACCATTTATAAATATGCAGAAGTGTGTAGGCGAAGATATAAGAGACTAAAAACTCAATTGGCGATGTTTACCGCAAGTTTTTTCATCTAATTTGTATGTACTTTTTTGTGATGAAACGGTAATAATATCCATAAATAAGTCATGTTTTGAGTTTTATCGCCATGCCTAAAGCCGGATGTAAATACTTATATATACACATATACATGTACTTACATATGTATATGTATGTACTTTTATGCATTTATATATCTTTATCTATATAAAATGCGGGGAAGAACCGAATTAAAAAAATATGAGACCAGAAACAAAGAGATGCATATACAACACTCACATCATTATAATTGAGAGCGTTAATCACTGCGACAGTTGACTGCACACTGTACTTTTGACGTTTAGCAACTGGAAAAACAGCGATGGCAACAGGGCAGTACTATCAAAAAATAACTCAAAGGATACATTTATATTCGCAAAATAATCATATCATCTCAAAGAAATTAATAAAAAAAATTTATACGACTGGCAAGTATTAAGTAATTTATTTGTTGGTAATAATAATAAAATATTAATGTTTTTAAAACGACATGTGACAAGAATGATGATGTTTAAAATGAAATATATCCTTTGGAAGTTCTAATAAAATAAAATTTTTATTTTAAATTTTCTCGCAGTTCATTTTAATAACGTTTGCATTAAACTATTAAGAACAAAATATCACGGGGTTTTCAATAAGAGCGCTACAAAAGTGTTTTTGAGTAAACGTTTAAATAACGTGCCGATCTTGATCATCGCGGAAGAAGAACGACCCAATGACGCCACCGGCCCATAATCCGCACCAAACCGTATTTTTATTATTATTTTTTTTTTTTTTCAAGATGCAATGGTGACTCATGAAGTACATGTGGTTTAATGCCTGTCCAATAACGAAGTCATTCAGCCTGAAATGAGCCACATCACTGAAGATGATTTTTCGATGAATATCCGGATCATTTTCAAGTTGTTGATCAGCCCATTCGACGAATAAACGACGATTCCGATGGCTCAGTTCTTGCGTCAATTTGATATTGTAAGGATGTAGGCCAAGATCTTTTCACAGAATATGCCAAAGCTGGAGAACAACGTGTGAGATACTGATTTGGATATTCCTCAATTAATGCGCTAGCGACAGCAATATTCTCGACACTATGGGCACTTCTTTACCTCACTAGTATGGGAACATTTGGAACTGTGCCTATGGATTCAAATTTTTTCAAAAGACGCTCAATAGTTGATCAGACAAGACAATTATAACGACCATAAATGGGACGTAACGCTCTTAAAGTTTAGGACTTTTTTCAAACCGACGCCATTAATAATTTTCCAAAATATATTATATCATAATTATTTGTAGTAATGCTTCATTTTAACTTAATAAATGTACATTTCAATTAAATCAAAATACTCTACGCCCTTTACAATGAATTTGAAAAAAATACTTGGTGAGAATTTGTCTGTTTCGATGATTTGACGACATTCACAGAATGCTTTGACCCACTGAAATGTATTCGACTTAATTTCTCGAGAAAATTCATAAATATATGTACATATGTCTTGCTAATAAGCTTCATATGTAATTTTATATGATACATGTGTGTAGCTATATGCAATAATAATGGAAGCTCATACAATATACCAAATTATATATGTATATTTGGAAGATCATTTTAGTCTAAGAAAAGGTAAATCGCAATCGGTTCGAACATCACTAATTTTTTTTTTTCGAAAAAGAGTGTCTTGTTAACAATTATGAAACACTGCTTCCCTACCTACCAGGATGTCATGAAACGTATTCTTACTGGCGACGAGTTTTGGATATGTGCTTAAGACTTGAAATCAAAAGATCAATCTGCCGAATATCTGGCAAAGGTGAGCCGTAGCGGAAAAAAATCGTCAAAACAGGTCAAAATTACAAAAATTACAAAAATTAAAATTAGGTTACAATTTTCTTAGATTGCATAGTTGTAGTGCACTTCGAATTCCTTCCCAACTGTCAAACCGTCTAGAAATACTATTTGAGTGTCATGCGTCGTTAGCGCGAAGCTATTCGTAAATAGAGGGCGGAATCATACATCGACAAATCTTGATTTTTGCACCACGGTAATGTATACGACGATACTGCATTGATCTTTCCGGAGTTTACCGCTAAATTTTCAACCAATTTCCATAGATCAAATAGATTTTGATGAATAAATTAAGTTTTTGAAAATTATGGACACAGAATTTTTCGCCCATGGTAGTAAATCACTATAAGTTTTTATTAATATTTGAGTCACCGAATTTTCATTATTCTGAAGACCTCCAATCAAATTGCTTTACCGATGAATGCCTTAGAACCGCTCTCTCAACATGCCGATTTCTCGCAGGGCATTAACTCATCTATATAAATATATATGCTTGTAGCAAAATAGATCTGTACATTTGTAAATGCATGGTACATACACACATATACATATGCAGGCGATACAAACGTTGAGTCGTTTCGTCACTACAAGCAAATAGCTTATAAGCATTGTATAAACCTACAAGTAACCAATCCTTCATTTTTCAATAACACATACGCAAAAATCTA